CTAATTTATTTAGAACAAGTCAACTTCCTACATCCCATTATTGATCTCCAATATGTGTAGGCTCATCTCAATAATTTACTTGATGGATATTATAGAAGGAAAATCCTACTCCCATTATTTAGCTCAATAATGTCAAGGATGGGGCTATAGGCATTTGTATTCTTCCCTAGTCATTCTATCACTTATTTTGATATTTGTCATTCATATTATTGGACTAATAGCCGTGTGGGTCACCCCTGAGTGGGTCTAGGACGCCATTCTCGAATACTTGCAATTTTTAGCACGTTGAGCCCAGAATAGTGTCTGGGCCGCCTGACCTTCCTCAACTTGTCTTGAAAGGTTAAGTAACATTATTTAGGTAAAGTTGGGCTCTTATATTCATTAATAAGGCCCAAATAAGTATTTGCAAAACCCGACACTAATATACGAGTCTGAACAATACAATATTCAATCATGCACTGCGTAAAACATAAATTGTTTTACAATTGTTTGATAAACCGGAAATTCAATACATAACTTCCAATTTTAAATCGAATTTTCATGGACGTTCGGGTGCGGTATCACATTCTTGGTCATGCTGCATCAATGGAGGAACTTTGCTCTTCGGGATGATGGTGATGGTGAAGCTCGGGGTGATGAGCGGATGATGAAGATCGAACGATGATGTGATAATGAAGTATTCAGCTTGTAGTGGATATGAAATCAGAGAAGGAGGGGAAACGGAACCTCAATGTTCCGAGTAATTTATAAAATACCCGGTTGTACCATCTACAAGGTACAATCGGTTCTATAATATAATTTGCCGCACATGGGATGGATGGTCATGCTATTACGAGGGGTGGGTCGGAAGCAAGCTCATCATATTCAATCCAAGTCGGGTTTTTAGTAATCCGGTTACGATCCAAGTTTCGGCAAGATCGATTAAATCCGAACGAGAAAACACTTCATTCTCTTATTGAAATTTAAATCATGATTTCAAAATACTTTTGGTAGGCCATAATTGAATATCTAAGAATTGAAAAATGAAAACTAATAAGTATTATAGAAAGAAACTTATAGCAATATAGTAAACTGAAAATGACGTAGTGTTACAAATGGCATCAATTTACTTTTTGTGACCAATTTATAGCCGTGTTTTTAAGAGATGTCCACTAATTAAATACTACGGAGTATATGGGCATGAGCCAATTTGTGGGCTAGCATTTATGGGCCGTCCGGCCTCGTGGCTTGCCAACTCGTATCTGAAGCCTAGTTGAGTTTACTCCTGAGATTTGGGCTTAATGGACCATCAGTATATGTTCCAACCCATTACCCCAACATGAGTCCCACACCCCCTTAGTCGAGTAGTAGACTTGGATAAAGGAAGTAGTAAGTCCAAGGGTAGAGACAAGGCACAAGAATGGACTGGACCAATGCAAAGAATATATTTTGGAAAAAAAAATTACACGGAATTTTTTACCGTGAAAATCAAAGCATTTTTTAAATTAGGGGTGGGTCAGGGCCTGGGTTGGCCCTCCCCTAATCCGCCCATGGTCAAGTAATTTTCTACTTGAGACCGGCCGCTAGGCTGGGCTAGTCACTCAATCCAACTAGGGGTTCCCTATAATTTAAGGACGGCAGCCTGTGGGTTTCCACATCTGCTTGAGAGGTTGGCGCCCTGTGTGCTGACTTGTTGGGGCTTAAAGTCTTCTGGGTTGGTAGCCTTGGGTGTTCCTTGTCAGGTTCGCAGCTATGAGTCTTCCTTGTCCGGTTGACAGCCACCTGGGGTCATGATGTCTTCTGATGGATCTCCGACCTAGGGGTGGACGGAATCCAGGAAAATGGAGAGTCTGAAAAGTGCCAAGTAAGATCGGTAGAAAATTGGCCAGAGTAACAACATGTTTACACTAAAATCTGGATCGGGGTACCTTTCCACATGTTGGAAGGTGATATTTATACTAAGGATAAAATACTTGGCCAACAAGTAAAAAGATGTTATTTTATTGTGGTGAGGGCACATGTCCCACATGCCTAACAAGAATAAATATACTAGTCTAACAACGTGGTGATACGTTTAAAGTTGATTGGAGAGATATTCTGGACAGCTGGCTGATTGGTACTGTGCGTAACAAATTTGTCCTTTGTGTACCAGAACGTACATGTGTTATCCAAAATATTCCGTGTGGTAGCCGCAAGGGTGACGTGGCCTTTGTACACCTGTCGTGGTGGTGATGTGGTTGTAGTTTCGCGTGATACTTGTTTGCTGAAACGTCTAAGTCAACAATTGGTTAGTGAGGCCCCAAACTCAACAGATGAGGTCAAGCTCGGGTATAGTGAGCTTATGTTGGAGGATTGGATCGTGGTCTTCTATTTGTCTGGTAGTGGTAATTCCTTCACCTTGTTGACTTCAGTTGACTTTGTGCCTGTGTATGGCGCCATAACTGGTACCGACTTCGACGGGTCGGGATCGGCCTCGATTTCTGTCTTATCTCAATAATCTGGAAGTCAAATGTTAGGTCGACCTCGGGCAGGTCGAGGTCGGGGTTGGCCTCTGCAGTCGTTGACTTGGTGTATTCCGAATACTTTTTTGTTCGTGAGTATTGACACCCCTGAGGTATATGAGAATATACTCCATCACCATCCTGATCTGCCGGAAGCCCCTCCACCCTTGTCCACGATGAGGAGGCGTCACTTTAAAACCTTACTAAGAAAACATCATTTGGGAGATGATCTCAATGAAGGGGAAAACGTACATTAGTGCCTCAAAATGAAGCCATAGGAAGGTAGGTATTCTATGCCGTCTTTTATATGTTCCTTGGTTATTCTTAACTTATTCAATTTATGTTGAATCTAAATTTATAGTGATGGTATTATTATAAGATATTGCTCCAAATAGGAGCAAAACATTGTAATAGCGCCAAAACGGAACTACATGTTATAAGTTCAAAAAATTAAGGGTGTGCACCTGTTTCGGGACAATTCAATATGTGGTTAAATTTGTAACCATAGTAAATGGTTTGGTATGGTTAGGTCTTAAATTAGAACTAAAACCATTCAATATGATTCCATTTTAAAACATGACAGTACCATGTCATACCAACACCAAACAATGTCATGCTCAAAACTCCACGTAATCGATGAATTTTCAAAAATATACCGTGAAGTAGAAATTATTAAAAACCCTATACAGGATATTATGAATAAACCTTCATTTAACAGTAATTAATGATACAAATATATTTTCGTTTCTCAAATTTTAAACAATATTTGCGTTGGTATACTTTTTTTTACCCCGGGGAGTCAGGAGAGGCCGGAGGGAGCCGGGGATAAACAGGGTTCAGGGGCGGCTTGAGCACTTTAGAGGCCCTAGGCAAAAAATCAATCAATATTAGTAAATTATATCAATGTATTTTCTATAATAATAAAGTCATTAAAAATGAAAAAACAAATATTTTAACTCATCCAAATCAACAAACATTAAGTGGTCACTTTGATTATTAATATTCTCGTTTTAATCACTATTCTCATTCTAAAAAAGAATGTTAATCATTGCCAATAACGGTGAGCGATTTTATACCCAAAACTCTTCTCAATTTCCTCTTTTCTTTTTATATACCATAAATCTTTGGTTTACCCGTCATGACAATACCTAACACGGAGTTTCTACATACATATTAAAAAATCACAAACAAATGAGTCAACGGAGAAGCTATAGTTTATTTACAAAAAAATTATTACTAACAATCTTATAAATAAATAAAATATATACATTTCGACTAGTCTACTACCATCAAACAAGTAAAAATTACGTAGTACTTCAAAATTATACTACGTACTAGCTACAAACAAAAGTACTTCGAGTATTTATAATTTATAGAATATCGATCAATATACAAAATTACTTAAATTACCAACCCGAAGCAATATCTCAATATTAACTCAATAAGCTTTAATAATTAGTCCTACCACAAATCCTTGTTCCTTATTCCCTCTCAACTTCACTGAGTCAGTGCGCACTAGGAATTGGGAATATGAATGGAACAGATGTTTCAGTGTTTGCGGATTATTTTTGGGATTTAGGAGAATGGAATTGCATATGAATAGATCTTTCATCAATTTCTAATTCTAATTATTCATAATACAAGTATTTTTATTTTTGAGGCCCCTAGAAATGTGAGGCCCTAGGCACAAGCCTGGCCTAACTGGGGTTATAGCCGGCTCTGACAGGGTTGAAACTCCCTTCATGGAGTTTTGAACCCGAGACCTCTCATATGGGAGAGTGAGTCGGCGACCGGCTGAGCTAGACCACTTCCTCAAATCAGATATCCATATATGAAAACTATGAATGTTTTTACTTGGACTGAAATATGCTGGTCTGATCTAGTCGGATCTGTTTAAGTCTGGTCTGTTTTGATCTGAACTCGTCTGATCTAGTCTGGTAAATGTGTGGTCTCTGTGTACTTTATAACTAAGGAAGTTTGGTTTGGTCTGGTCTATTTAAAACTGATTTGGTCTGGTCTGGGAACGAAAACAATCCAAGTAAAAACACAATAAGAATTGAAAGTTGGGATAAGACATACTCACTAAGGGTGAGGAGATTTTAAACGGAGCACGATAATAGTGAGCAAAGAACTAGTGAAACAAACAAGGTATTAGGGATAAATTTATAAGTGAACCTATAAATTTGTACTGTCTTGTATGAGTTGTATCAGTTCTCAAATTGTGTGAACCAGTAATGTAATGATACAATTTTAAAGATCCATTTGAAACGTTATTTTCCAATTTGGTGTTTTTGCCCACCCCTAAAAGAATAGAAGATGTGATTACTTTTTTATGGTTAGGATTTAGGGTTTATTAATTCCCTTAGGATTTGGGTTAGCCTTTTATAGGGTTTATTTTCTCCACCTAGAGTTTAGTGGCAGCTGCACGACAGAGCATGTGATAGAAGCAGAAAAACCAGCATGTGCGCACCAAAAGGGCATTTCACATTTGACTCATATATTGGGAATTTTAAACATTTACCCTGTTTTTGCATCTTCGCCTTGTTTTACTACTAATTTGGGAATTTTCTCTATCATCCATTCATCATCGTCATGTTTGTGTTATTTGAATTTCATTGTCATTATTGATTATTAATTATTATGATTAATTTCTTCTGCTATAAAACATTTACTCGAAAAAAAAAAGTTATCCCAACCACGTTTGAAGACTGAGAAATTAACATATACATAGTATTTTGCAATACTGTGAGGACATGATCTCACAAGGGAGCACAATAACTCATTCAAAGCATTTACAAAAGAAAACAAGGCAACACAGAAAGGGCATACATGGTGATAACAAGGGAGAGAAGTTAAAATGGCTGATTAATACAGCCTACCAGAACACTCTGCAGAGCCACAAAAGCACTTTTTCACCTTGATGTTTCCACTGGAGTCACGAACCTGATCCACCGTGTAATTATAGTGGTATGTCAACTCACGTAATGGAGGGATATTGTCCGCAGCAAAGAGCATAATATGCGGCATCTTTTTGTCTTCATAGTCATAAAGAACGTTTTGGGCATAGAGATTAGGAGAACAGCTGTGATTGATGAACCTCCCTACGTTCCCATACTCAGCTGCATCGATGGTATACCCCACATCTTCACCAGCCTCGTTGTTATTAGTACTTGTTTGTATAGAAGAGTCACTGTTGTTATGCCCAATATCAAAAAGATACTCATCAATACCGACCCTACGTTCAGCTTCCCTGTCTTCAAGAAGCTCTCCTGCGTACTCGCATATGAAGGTTCCAGAAGGAATGGAGGTTAGGGATCTGACACCCCATCCACGCGACTCTGTTTTGAAGATCTCCAATTGAATCTTGATACCATTCTGGCTGACTCTATTATAGCAAGATGGTGGGCATTTACAGTGGGGTCCACACTCGTAGACAAGAGGTTTGACTTCTACAATGGCCCCGTTACGGTTGTACGGAAGTTCACCTCCGTTCCGGACGGCACACAAGCACTTTCTGGAATCAGAACATTTCCCCGGACAATCACAGCCTTTGGGTGGAGAAGGGCGAAACCATTCAGGATATTTAACAGTAAGGATGTACTTGAATGGTGGGGGTTTTTCACTGTCAATTCTGTTGATAGCACATATAGGAAGCAACTCCTTCCCTCCGGTTATGTCGTCAACACAAACCCCACGTCGTATTGTTGACTTTTTGGATGACTTCACTTCTTTCCAAAACAATTCCGGCTGACCAGGAATTCGCCTCAGTTCAAACATAAAAACCATCTTGCCGTGCTTCCCTTCTTCTGACCAATAGTTGGCAACAGTGTATAGGCCGTCATAAACATATGTCGTGACCACCTTTGATCTTGCATCACCAGATTCCGATGGCTTGGCCTCCTTGAACCCACGGATCACCCGAACCGGATTCTTCACAGATATGCTGTTTCTCAAAGCCAGATTCCCTCTTTCGAGCTTCTGGTCTTCTGGTGTTTTGACTTTACCGACCACGTTCCCGCCTTGTCCAGAATAAACCAGCACATCAGGGTCGTCCATCTCATCGGCATAAGCCCCAGAAGCAACAATACTAACCGCAATCAGCATTCCGGTTTTGACATGTTTCATTGAATCAATACCTGCTTGATAGAGGCGATGAACACCGATAAGAGCAAGTTCCACTCTGTACTGGAATTCATCCCCAACTTCCACCCCAGGAACTTCTCCTACTATAAGCTTGCCTGTGTTGACTTCTTTACCCTTTTCTTTGATTATCTTTGACGCAACAATATCAATCCTTTTAACATCTGGCTTAGGCTTAGATTCTTCTCCTTGTAAGACCTTTCTACAGAGAACCTGAAACAAACGGAGAGTTTCTTTTACTTTACTGCGGGCATCACTATAGTTGGAATGACTCGGACCAATAGGTGGCAAGGTGACATTAATCTTGGGCAGTTTACGTCCATCAGCAGTAGTAGAAGCTTCTCCCTGATCAGCATCATCATCATCAAAAAAAGCACATTCACCTCCATCTGTAATCTGATTAGAAATTGATAATCTCTTCTTGAGATGAAGTGCTTTCTTACAAACGTCTGGTTGAAGGCCATCCTTTAATGAGATAGTGTTAAATTTCTTAAGTTTCTTTCTCACTTTACCGAGAGAAGCACCATCATCTTCACTGTTTACTGGGATTTTGGTTACGGCACCTTCTCTAGCCCCGATAGAAAAATGAGTTGCCTTCTTAAGACCACTTTTTTTAGCAACAGCACTGTACCTCTTCCTATAAGAAGAAGAAGAACTTGTTGCATTATGTTGCTGCTTGTCTTCTCCTTCAACTTTCCTTTTCATACCTTCTAAACCAGTGAAGTCCCTACTCCCCCCTTGACTCCATGGACATAATGGCTCAGCCATAAGAGCTTGCACAACCACAGACCTAAGAGCTACATTACCAGAACCAAAAGCATCATACATTTCTGACTTCTCTTCAATGTCACTACTGCTTAATGTCACACTCTCCCGAAGAAGTCCAACAGCATCATCGTCATCATCATCTGGAAGCATGCAGTTGTTGACAACTTCCTTCTCAGAGTTGTGGACAGTAATACCCTTCCGATCACCATGATGAGCCCCCCGTGGCTCTTCAATGGAAGCCATTGCTTTATCAGTGAGAACTTTCATCACTGTATTAGAACTCCCATCAATTAGATTAGGAGCATTCCTTCCACAAAATGGAGGGAAGTCACGTACAGCAGAAACTCTTCTTGAGCAGTACTTTTTCTGTGTCAAGACGGAAACGGAAGGTTCCTCTTCCTTGACCTTAACCTTAGCACCAGGAAGGACCACCTCATCATGAGAACTTTCAACAACACCTTCAACAATTGGTAGTTTCAAATCATTATTCTGTATCATCTGACCCCAACCCTCCATTGGCTCCACTTTATTATTATCATCTTCTTTTGGTAGTAAATCAGTTTCAGGAGGTACAGTACCATCAGACACACCTTCGACAATTGGTAGTTTTACTATCTCATCAAGATCCTTTGCGAAATCTTGATTCAGCATCTGATCATGATCACTTTCCTTCATTGGCTCCTCTGATTTGTTTTCTAATTTTAGTGATGAATCATATCCCATAGTTGTGTTCACACCTTCAGCAGTTTCAGCAGCCACACTCTCGTCAGATGTCAAATCTGTTTGGGATACATTCCTACCACATCCGGGAGGAAAGTCCCGAACCGCTGAGACTTTCCTAGTTTTATATTTTGCCATATGGTCGAACGAAGAGGAATGGTAATCACTGTCTAAGTTTCTCTTTTGATTCTGATGAGATAGCCCGCCATTTGACACCAACACCATCTGTGTACAAGCTACAAATGAATGTAACCTTCTCGCTGGTGAGAATGCAGTAAAGGGAAGGGAAAAACAGAAACCTATACTTGAAAACAAAACACTGATTAAAAGTGAAGACATATCTTTAATTCACCAAATCCGTTAATATTACGTCACAATCACCGGCCAATAATTTATATATGTCACAAAGCAAACAGGACCAAGCATCAAAGCCAAAAAGTAAACAAACAACAAAAAGATACCTTAGAACAATATCAAATGTAGCTCCAGTTATGCTAATCAGAGCATCCTATATGCTGGCCTGGAAATTGATGCAAAAAAAAAAACAAAAAAATTAAGCAACAACAAAAACGGATGAATAGTAAACCTTACACAGGAATGGCCATATTAAGATTATCAGAATGAAAGGGCAGGAAAAATTGGCACACGAAAGGATAACATACTACCACGTTTCAGGGAAACAATATTAAAGATTGCTACCCTAAAAAATCCACAATGTCAAACATGACGATCCAAGCTGAAAGGTCACCTAGAAGGAACAAAAGATGCAGAAATAAAGGCACAGGATGGAGACAATGCGGAACGGACGTAAACCCGATAGAACATAAATTTAAAGCTAAAATCTGTAAAACATAGAACAGATGGAAGAAAAACCTGCCAAATGCAGCTAAAAGAGTCCAGAGAGAACCATTTGTTGGCACGCCAAAGCGATGGAGAGTACACACAGGAGTAGAACCCAACAAAATCGGCACAATCCGGTTCTGGTGTCAGGATCCGAAGAAAAGCCGATTCAGTAGACAGGACGAGCATTAACGGGAGGTCGCTGCGAGGGTTTGAGAACATGAAATGAAATTAGGTGTTCCTCCATTTCATGGATACATGACAACAGTAGTCGTGTGTGTGTTTTCTGCTCGACAAAGGGAAGGACGCCGCTTGGTATTGCCCCAAAAAGGCAACCCCATTTTCCCACTACGAATCTACGATGGTACTCACTGCTAGGTATGCTTTTCTGTGTTTTTATTTAATTGTATTATTTATAGGGAAAATGCAAACTAATAATCCAACATTTTAGCGGTCTTCTTTTAATAATCCCACCTTTTGATTATTCATGAATAATCCAACTTTTGCACCACATCTTCATTCACTGGTCCTTGACCGGTTGATGACCTGCTATTCCAAGCTATTTTCTTATCTTTGCAAATCATTATACCATAAATTTCATCTTTTACAAAGATAATATTTTGCAAAGATAAGAAAATAGCTTGGAATAGCAGGTCATCAACCGATCAGGGACCAATGAATGAAGATGAGGTGCAAAGGTTGGATTATTCATGAATAACCAAAAGGTTGGATTATTGTAAGAAAACCGCTAAAATGTTGGATTATTAGTTTCCATTTTCCCTTATTTCCATTACTACCTCAGTCCCCGAAATAACTCATACACTATTCATTGGTCAACTTAAATATAACTCATAATCTTTTATTTTATATATCAAATATTTATATTAGTATTCATTATTTTATCGTAAGTCAAACATCGTAAATCGAACGAGAACTTCTTTACGGGATGGAGGGGTATGTTTTTACTGGGATTGTTTTCCGTCTCAGAGCATCTTCAATGCTAAAACGTTAACGGTGCATACGTGACATGAGAAATAAGCAATTAAAAACAATAAATAGAATATCTCTCTCCTTATTTGAAAGATCTTACATCATTTTGGTAAGTTTTTCTTCACAATGTCAAGCACAATGTCTAGATGTAGACATTGTGGTTGACATTGCAGACAAAAACTTACCAAAAACACATAAGACCGTGTAAAGAAAGAGAGAGATAAATGTCATAAAATCAATATTTTGTGTCTATATCTCTCATGCCACATGTGCACCGTGCACATTGTAGCATTGGAGATGCTCTCACATCAGACCAGACTAGACCAGACTTGGATAATTATAAAATACAAAGAGGTCAGATATTTACTAAACCAGACCAGTTCAGACCAAACCATACCAGCAAATTTCAGTCCAAGTAAAAACAACCTTAAATTAAGATATAAAAATTAAAGAAAAAATTGAAAATAATAATCCCAACTATTGCCGGTCCGCTAATAATAATCCCAACTATTGATTATTTTTGTATAATCCCAACTATATGGATCGTCCGCCAATAATGGTCCATGGTCATATATTACCTCCTATAAAAAGTGAATTTTAAATAGAAATTAAGTGTAAAAATTAAAAGTTGAGATTATTTATAGGGATTACTTGCTATATCACTCATCATCCACTTTAGAAACTACATGAATTTATTTCTATGGACCACTATTGGCGGAAGGTCCCTAAAGTTGGGATCATTCTAAAATAATCGATAGTTGGGATTATTATGGGCGGACCACCAATAGTTGGGATTATTCCTATCAATTTTTCCAAAATTAAAAGATGAAAGCAGTTCGAGAGCCGCTTTAAACTGCTTTTCACTTTTTCTACGGAGTATTACACAAAAAATACTTATTTTATCAAACACTACCAAAATTTACTTTTTCAAAATTTTCTTTACCTCAAACACTACAAACTTTTACCAGTAAGTATTTTCTCCAAAATCACTTTTTAAAGTAGAAGCAATAAAAAACACCCCTTAAACATATTATGCATACACGTTTATCAAATTAGATATGAACTCATCACACTAACATTAAACAGATCAGACAATAATATTTGAATCTGGTTAAAAACACTTAGAGCTCGTTTGGTAGCACGAAAATCGGCTGATTTGGCTGATTCTGCTGAAATTTATGAAGTTCTGGCTGAAGTGGCTGCATTGGCTGATTCTGCTGATTTAAGAAAAATATTTTTAAAATATATTTTATTAATAAAATAAAGAAAAAAGTTGTATGTAAAAATAGCTAAAATGATCATCTATAGTAACTTCAGCCAATACAGCAGAAAAGTAACTCCAACCTTACTTTTTCTGCTTATTACACATTTCAGCCCGTAAAAGCAAAAGTAACGTGTTTGGTGAAAAAGTTGACTGTTAAGCCTGATAAGCCGAAAAACAGTGTTGCTAAACGGCCTCTTATAAGTGGAAAGAGTTTGAACATTGTATTAAATTGCATTTTCATGCATTGTTCTTCAATTATATAATCTGAAAATGGAATTGATGTAAGTTTGTAACTCGCTCTCCCATACGGGAGGTCTCGTGTTCGAAATTTCATGGATGGAGTTTCAGCTCTATTTACCCCCGACTCCCCCAACCCCCCTCTCCTGACCCCTGATGTAAAAACAGACTATGTGCAAGAAATTTAAAACAAATTTGATAAACGCAGAAAAAGAATCTTTATCCTACAAAACTTTGTTAACTTCTATCATCCTTACTAGCGATTGATCGCGCAAGGCGCGATAACTCATACCCAATGTTTTTTTGCCAAAACTTGCCCAATGTTAATAATATTTTTTCGGCCACCCTTATTTACGTGGATAATGAGCCAGTAGTGTTGTTTGATGAATTACAAAGTAAAAAAACTTAACACATTAAAACTCTAAAAATAGTATTGTTGATCACCTTAATTTCTTTTAAGTATGAGTAGAGGCGTATACAAGAGGAGAAGTTCAACTTGATCGGTACAAACAAATTTTTTTAGATATATTTGAGGAGAAATATTCATTATAGTAAAAAGGTTTATATTATCATGTAAATACATACGAAGTATTTCACTACCAAAAAAATACGAGATTGACAGAGATTTTTGGTATGAGTTTTCCAAAATTGGCAGGGATTTTGACATGGATATGCCAAATCTATGCCAAAAACAGTTTGACACGAAAAAATTGATAAATCTGTGCCAAATCCGTGTCAATCCCATAAATTTTTTATAGTGTTTGCTTCATTATTGTAAAAACAATCGATGCAATTAACTATAAAAAAGTCAAACTTGAAAAGGTTTAAAAAGTGCATATTAATATACGAAATTTGATTATTACTTATTTCAATATAAATAGTTCCCATATTACTTTATTTAAAGTTCACGAATTTATCATACTAAGTAGTATTTAAATGTCTTTATGAATCAACTTAACGGAAGTTTACACCATTAGGGTTATTAAAGTCACTTGAAAAGTTAGGTATCATTTTCTAAGCATAATGTACAAATTTTTATGTAAAGATGTATTGACACAAATCAAGGGTACCAACCCTCATTCACAAATATAATGTTGTTAGATGTTAGATGTAATGAGATGTTTCTTACAATAGAGTTTGACAAAATATTTAAGGGAGAAGTAGTCAGAATGATGAACAATGTAGAAAATGTAACAGAGATTGCAGAAAAGTATGAAATAAAAGATAAAAAGTAGAAAAATTAAGTGTAATTGAGTATTTTTTTAATTGGTTTGTGTAGCAAACGTTCCAGATGCCTTTTCTGACAATTTATCGGGTTTACCACCATCTCGAGAAGTGGAAGTTACTGTTGAACTAATATATTGTACCACTCTCATTTCAACAACTACTTATCTTTTAGATAAGGAATTTATCCAACCTAGTGTGTCTCCATGGGGCGCACCTGTTTTCATCATGAGGAAAAGGGATGATTCTGTAAAATAATGAAACATGTTAATCCTTTAGGAACCCTAACATATATATTTATAATAAGTGAATTAATTGTCAATTACACAAATAACCCTAAACAAGTATATTATTACATCCTCTCAAGTTGCGCGAGAGATACAACACGTAGGTTGTGTTTCAAAAAAATGAAATTCCTGGTTAGAGAGACTTTTGATAAAAAATATCAGGCAACTAAAGATGAGCAGGAGCATAATTTACAACCAAATCTCTATGTGTGATGCGCTCACGAACAAAGTAATAGTCAATCTAAATATGCTTGCTCCTAGCACGGTAAACAAGGTTGACAGTCAAATAGGATGCTGAAATATTATCACAAAAAAAACTGAACTGAGACCGTGACTGAAAAGCCAAACTCGATCGAATCAGGTCGAATGTGCAAGGCATCATGTACCGTGTAAGCAATAACATGATATTCTTCCTCAGTAAAAGACTTGGAGACAGTAGTAGGGGTGGGTTCGGTTCTTGCGGTTCGGTTTTGATCTAAAACCAAATATAGAATCAAAGTAAAAAGTTCGATTCGGTTTCGGTTCGGTTTTACACTCCAAAACTTGGAACCACGGTTTAATTGGTTCGGTTTGTTTCGATTCGGTTTCGGTTTTTTCGTTTTTTTACCAAAAAAATTATCATTTGATTTAAAATTGATATAATACTTTGAGGGATCAAACATATATTATATAAAGAATGCAAGCACACTACAACAAATAAAATAAAAATGAAAATAAATAAATATGTCATGAATTATATGAGTATGCGAGAGAGATAAAAGTATAATTATTAATTTACATGGTTTGTGACTAGTTCAAAAAAAGTTCATGAGTATATACGTTATATGTGATATAGTTGAGATAAATATTTATTGTTTCATCAATACGAATTCTGATCTTTAAGTTAAATAAAAATAAAAGTTAATTAATACTAATAACAAGTAAAAACATATTATTTGTATAGCTACATTATTATGTGCAATGAATGTGTAAATGAATTCATAAATTAAACTAAACTAAACATAACAAACATTATTTCTCTAGCACAAGAAAACCAAAAACTATTAATGATATTAGGATTAGTTAGGATTAATGCGTAACAATGGACAAATAAATTTTATATTTTAACTAGTTCGGTTTGTTCGGTTCGGTTCGGTTTTGAAGGGTAAAAACCAAAACCGAACCAAACAACTACGGTTCGGTTCGGTTTTTTACATTCGGTTTCGGTTTGTTAGCGGTTCGGTTTTATTTGGCTACGGTTCGGTATGATTTGATTCAGTTTTCGGTTTTCGATTTTTCGGACCCAGCCCTAGACAGTAGGTTGCTTTATGGACTTCCAAGATACAAGATTAGGACCCAAGTAAACAGCAAAAC